TCAATTGCTTGACCATTCAAAATCAGTAGGATTTTGTAGCCCCCGGCTTGCTCTTTTGAATGGTGAAAACCGCAGCTCGATAACTCAAAGTAATCAAAAGTTATTCAGAAAATGGTCGTTAGTACTTTTAAAAAAATCCGACATTAGGTGCTTCAATAACTGTTAAATATGTAAATCCGCTTTTGTTCTTTTCACTCCACTCAATGAAAGTATTTAGGACAGTTCGCAAGCATGGAGATTTATATTCTAACAAAGTGTCGAAAGCTTCTGGTTCATCTCTACTTGGAGTACCGAGAGTGCTCTAGATTTCTGCAGTATAGAATCGCAAATCAAAAGCTTTTATTGTATGAAAAAAGCAAATGAATGCTACCTGCATCCATTATAGATGATTAAAGAAGATTTTTCGTTTCTGCAGTAAAGTGCGTACCGTACTTCCTATTCAGCTAAACGTGATACATGATGACCTACATTGAATTTTCGGCGACAAATCTTCGGCTTAGAAGACTTGCCAAAGTGCTTTCGAGAAGGATTAGAAGAGTCCCAAGGCTTGATCGACTTGTAACCTAGACCTAGACAACATCTGAGAATGTTAACGGAATTTGTAGCTAACTGACGCTCAGCGAGTTGGCAGGATACGAATATGCGAAGAAAATTTGGAGACATTGAAACAAGAATCATGGCAATTTCGTGATGTAGTGACAATTGACGAGTCATTATTACCAAAGATGGGTCAAAAATTGTCAAGTGCTGCTTGCGCAACAATTGGAAGGACTCTACCTGGTGTTCTGCAAAGCAGTTATCTTGCTCCGAAAACATAGTTCTGTATCTTTTTCAAAACGGCTGGCAGCGTTTCATAGCCAAGATATTGAACTCATTGAGTGAAGATGACTATAAATAAGACTTTTGATAAAAGGATTGAACTAGTGAAATTGTGTATAAATAATCAAGGTTATTAGTTCGAACAGTCGATTCACCTAATCTCTGAATAATTCTTCGAAATCTCCGTACTTGTCGAGTGCCTCAAGTACGTCAGCAAAGTTGTTTATGAGTTTAGAAAGCTTGTCCATTTCTAGGTCTTGAGTATTTTTTTCCATTCAATTATCTCCTTATAATTTAATAAAAACAAGTCGTCTCAAATTTTCGAAGAAGTCCTAATGGTAGATATTTTCGTACAATAGTGCTCTTGAAAGGTTGACTAGCAAAATAGTGATGATCGAAATACCGAGATATTCATTATAAAGCAGCCATCTGATAGCTAACCATACTGAATCAACTTCTGGAGAACAAAGTCGTGTCAAAGCATCCCTTATTATACTTACATAGGATTGAAGACGAGTATAGCCAGCAGTGGCCATGCACTGTCTTTCGAAGAAATAGATTCGTTTAAATGTCTTGAAAAAATCGTTAGTCTAAAAAAGAAAAGCAAAACTCGTCAATGTATGATTATGTTGATAATGATGACTCTAGAAGAAAATATCATAAAATCTGGATTAGAATGTCTGTTCATAATAAGTTCTGTTAAGGTGGATAAATTGTAAAGTCGGGCGTTTCGACGATGCCAGGATTCATCCTATCACGCGGTCCGACAGCGCCAGAATTTATCTTCTCCCGCGATTCGACCCACGTTTTCGCAATGGTTCGTTTCATATCATCGTCGCCATTTTCGTACATTTCCTGCACCATATCCATGATGGATTCATTCGGATCCTTTGACTTGTCAAGTTTCGGCAACGGTCTAGATTACCAAAGAAAACAAGTTTATTAGGCATCAGGAAACTCGACAGATCGTAAATACTTCACTTACTTGGTAGGCGCTTTCTTATCATCCTGTAAAAAGCATTCCCAATTTTTCGACTCGACTTTTCGTAAAGACAGAATGACCATATCATTTTTGACCTAGATACACGAGAAATTTACAAGAAAATCAAAAGACAATTCGATATCAAAAAACGGACTTTGCAAGTGGATTGGTCTGGTTGAATGTCAGACAGAAGGCGGATTCGCTTCAAGGAATAGTTGATGTTTTTTAGATTTTGAATTTGTAGATGAAAGCCACTACGATGGTGCAATTTCGAATAATGAAAAATTTGAGAAAGACCTGACCATCAATTCTTACCGTTTTTCGAACGAACATGCAATCTGGTTTTCTGGTAAGTTGCCGACACCGTCCAAATTTTGAACGTAGATCTTGACAAATTTATCCGTTTGATCCCAAGCTGTAACCAATAGTAGGATATAGACAGAAATCGTGATGATACTGTTGTCCTACCATAGACTGATATATCCTTTGTATATGATCGACTAGCTGTTGGTAGAGCGCTGTCACTGGTTGCCTTTTGTTCTGCTTGAGCAGCAGCCTGTTGTTGTTGTAGTTGCTGCTGTTGCTGTTTCTGTAGCTTCTCTTGAAGTTGGATTAATTCCTTTTCGGATTTGCGCTGTTGAAGCTCTAGATTTTGCTTTATGCGAGGACGAGTGGTTTGGTCGATCAGGCGTTTGATTTCATCGATGTCGACGCTGACCTATGAAAGATAAAATGGTTATGGATCAATTTTAAACGTTGTTCGGACACAACATCTGCAAATATCTTTTATCGAGAAGTTCAAACGATCCTCTTCGATTCCTTGAGGAAGTCGCCATGTTGTGGTACAACTTTCTTTGCAAAGACAGATTAATTATTACTTGTCACGTACCTCTTGTATTTGCTCTTCAAGTGTCATTTTTGTCTATTGATCGACAGAGTTAGAAGAGACAAAATCTAAAATTCAGTATAATGATACAACTATTTTTTTTACAATAAAATCAAGGAATTCTCCATTATAAAAGATTTGCTCGAAGTGCTGCGTTTATCACAGCAACTACTCGTCGATGCAATTGCCTTCGATGACCCTCGATGTCTTTAGCTATTGCTTGTTTCTCGATAAGTGACCATGCCTTTTTGTTTTGAAACTGTTGAACAGGAAATAAAGCCAAATTAGTCACTTCGCGATAACTAGGGTTATCAGGCATTGTTGATGGATCAATATCTTGGAACAGTTGGCAAATGTTCAGTGAACATTCTATTTTGTAGATATAACAGCGAAATTTCGGCTTGCGACGGATTATTCGGTCATCAATTTCCACAAAAGGAAATATCGCTAATTGTTGGGGAGCACACGACAGAAGAGTGCGTGTCTCCTCGCACAATTCATTGCTGGCCGTCTTTTCGATCCGTTCAGGATCATTCACTTCGTACATCATCCGACCACCACAGCAATTGTAATTCTTAGTGTAATCGTTAACTAACACTAGCGACAAACTATTAATATCCACAATCAGTACGCCGGCACCAGAATAGTCGTTCGAAGAGAAAGCCATCCTGAAAAAGACATACCGACCGTCGCAAAGAAGTGGTTTAAAATTTCTTCGTTACACTAGAAATCGATCTTGCCTGCCAAGTGACAGCCGGCACTGAAGGTTTTTCAAGATATGGTGGATCAGTTTTACTGTGAAACTATCGGTATTTTATCTAATCATCGATCCCGATTTACAGCGATACAGAACGCTTCAACGTAGATGCTGCTTAAAAGTTTGGTAGTTCTATCGACTTTGTCCGATTTCACTAGGCGTAATCTCATTCAATAGAAGAAGGACAATTTAGAAATTCATCAGTATGAAAATGTATGATATCAATATATGAATTATTCACGTGTCCATTTTACAAGCAATCTGTTTAAAAAGGTGTTCCAATCTCTACAGATATTGATTCTGTATCGAAAAAAATCGCCCTGGCGTAATTCGCACAATCATTTTAAGAACAGTTAGATTATTGGGACCAATTTTTCACTTTTGAGATGAACAGCAAATCGATCATATTACGATTTGACCCCGATTTTTGTTAGATCGGTTCTAACTTCGTCGATGGACCTTTTCGTGCCATGATTAACATCTGATTTGGAAAGACATGCTTTTTTCTGTATTCTCATGCTCATCATCACAGGAGTCACTTAGTTTCAAGCGATATTGGGCAAAATCTTTCTGTTTGATCAGTATTTGACCTTTTCGTGAAAGCCGAAATTGGGCTGTCAAGGCGCTTGGACCTTCTAGTAACAACCAGAAATTCTCGAAAAGGACACTCTGCGCTACATTTTAATACAGATTTTCAAGATCTCGAAAATGAGTGACTCTGCAAAATAGAGGATTTTTAACCATTTAGCCCCGTTTTGGTCACTGGCGGGTGACCATTTGAGAACATTTGAAAAAAAAGAAAGGATGCAACGGATTGAGAAACAATAAAAACCATTTTAATAGTAAACCTATGAGCTATCGATGGATGAAGACTATACTTTCTTCTATTACTCCATCTTTAAAATATTCGACCTACAAAATTCATCATGTTGAAGAAATGAAGAAAAACGAATTCTTTACATACAGCTGATTAACATTTTTCAAAACTGTCTATGTGATATTGATCTACGAAGAAATTCACTGGTGCGTGGGATGGGGTGTAGGTGTATGTACTATTTTTCTGTTAACAGCCACACTCACCCGCTGTTGCTGGTTCAAAGATTTTTATGGCTGTTATTCTTATGGATTGTTGGCTGACTTACAGACTTTCATGATCACTCTGGTAAACCACAGTGTCAGACAAAAGTGTTGACCTCTAACTGATACACTAATGCATGGCTTGATACTCTTTGCTGTCAATCCTAAGCATTGCTGATGAGATAGTATGTCAAGATTGTCAGCCTCTAGGACAGACGTTTACTGTGCAGCTATTTTGCACAGGTCTGAGCCTACAAATGTGCTCGGAAATTGTAGGCTGTCATTGTCTGAGATTGAAGAATAGACTGGTGATTTTTGCTATCCCGTTTACGCATCGCAATTTAGCCCGAGTTATTGTGTGTTGTCGCGACCTGTTAATGTGTAACCGAAGCTTGCTTGGCTCACTTCTTTTAATTCATTTGAGTTCAGGAGCGTTCTGGCCATACTCATAGGGAATACCATAATTTTCGCAGCTTTCGCATTCATTGTTGTACATAGTGACACTCTACGATAATGTTAGTAGTTTTGTATTTCTTTATCATTGAATTTCAAGTCAGGTTATGGTGATAGTTCGATTTCATTTTATTAAAGAATAATAGATCATGAATAACATGGCAGAAAAAAAATAACGAAGCTAATCATTTGAAATGTTAGCAACATCATGGAATCGAGACGAATAAAAACATGAAATATGTATGTAGAAGATATGAAAATAGGAATCAACTGAATCGCTTGCTGATATGAAGAGATAAATTGATCAACTCAAGCAATACCGATCATCGACTTGAATTTCGCATTGGCTTCGATCTTTTCCAATATTAGGATCATATAAGCACTATATATCTCAATTTTAAAATGTGTAGTTTGTCTTTTCAAACTGTCCTTGGCAATAACTTACCACAGTGTTTGTTTGCTTTTTTCTCGAATGATTCACTTTGTACTTTTGACTGATAGCAACAATTTACTTTTCTTATCTACGTTTTTCCTCTTTTATTATTTTATACAGGTGTCTTCTACTACAAAAAAATGTTGAGAACGATTGCACTTATCAAAAGTAAAACATTCAAGCTAGTAAGCACACGATGAGTGTATGCTACTAAGGAAAGAAATTCATAACCATGGAAGGAGCTTTATTTCAAATGGAATAAAAAAAGCAGTATGCATTTCTGTATAGTGTGAACTGTAAGTATGCGAGTATCAGCTGAAGGTGTGTATGAGATGATTAGGTGAGAAAAATAAACCAAACCCGTGCACTGAACAACGCACACCTAGCAGCTACACTCATAGCATAGACACTTGGATTTACAGACATCACATACAGCGCCGTAACCAGAACTTTAAGACCAACGGGCAAACTTCTCTTGTGTCGAAAAAAAAACGATGGGCCAAAACTCTTTTGGCCCAGCAAAGTGCTAAGAGCCTAAAAATTTCATGCATAAGTTAATGTTGAGGATTCTTCCAATATCTATCTGTGCAGCATACATGGACATTTTTCCTATGAACTAGATCATTCCACATCTTGGTTTTTTCTTTTATGTTTCCACATAATTATACGTCATTGGATTTTTTCTTTCACTTCTATGCGTTACTCTATATGTACATGTATCTGCATCTAAAGGATGTTCTCTTGATCTGTGCTCTTGTTTCTCTTATCTTTGATCTATCCTTCTTTACCTTTACGTGATTAGTGTTTTCACAATAAAACTCAACTCATGTTCACCCAAACTTGCAGCTAAAATCAGGGTTGCTACACTGAAAAAATAGGTATCATGCGAAACTTGAAAAGGTTTCGATTTTTGCAACCAATTCTCAACCATTTTCTGTTGTCGTACGAACCTACGAATCCCATTCAAAGTTCTGTACGACAACGGAAAATGGTTGAGAATTGGTTGCAAAAATCAAAACCTTTTTAAGTTTCGTATGGTGCCTATTTCTTTTCAGTGTAGAGTTTTTGAAAAGTCAGAAAAGTTTCTAAAACTTGAATATTTTTGCGATTTTTTTCTAACCTTCTGATTTTGGTATCTTTTTCTATTTTATTGCCGATTCGAAACGTTTTTAGATGGTGACTTTACTAGTGAAAATAATTACGACTATAACTTATTAATATTATAGATCTGTATTGCGCTACCTTTTTTCCTTTCCTAATCTTTTGTAATTTCTGAGTTCTGCAACCACTGCCGAATACTTCAATATATCAGTAAATTTTTGCGTTGTTGAACTTAAGAATGAATGCTAATTTTTTTTGAACGATTTCGTAAATATATTTTAGCTCACAAACATTTATAGAAGGAATTTCAAACAAAGGAAAACTTGACAAATAATATGGAATTTATGTTCTATGACCTTTATTATTTTTTGCAAGATTTTTTGATCTGGATAGTTTATATATGATTTGTTTGCGCATAGTTTTTGTAAACTGAGTTTTGGGTTTCGTAAAAGAATCCGATACTAGGTGCCTTTTGCTAACTTTTTTTTTGTATTGACTAACAATTGAAGGCCATGTAACTGCAAACTGAAGGGACCGTTCACAGTCGAGTCAAATGAATGCTCTTACTCACAGACCAACTAGTTTAAAACATGAACTGCCAATAGCATGCATAGACCGAGATGTTTAAATTTCAAGATATATACAGTTTGTTATGTGTCCATAGAACGAAATTTCAGCAGCCCTTAGTTTTTTTTGTCACGAATGGACGGAACACGACAATTTACATAAGGAGGAGCAATAACACACATTCAAAAGCAATTTGATAGCAATTAGAATTTTTTGTTTATTACACTTATAATTAAAAAAACTGTTGTCTTAGACTTCGTAGATTTTTCTTTTTAATATGCATGATGTTGTTTTTTCTTATGTAAATGGTCGTCCTCCATTCAACCATGACGAAAAAAGAAAACTAAGAGTTGATGAAATTTCGTAGTGTGGACACATAACAAACTGTAAATTTCTTAAAACTCGAATATCTCGGTCTCTGTATTCTATTGGCAGCTGATATTTTGAATTAGTTGACTTAACATCGAGAGCATTCATTTAATCCGACCAAGATCAATCCCCTTAGCTTACAGCACACGATCTTTCACTCTAAGCTATACAATGTTTGTATTGTCTTTCTTTGCTATGAAATACTTTTGAGAATAAAGTATGAGTCGATAAACAAAAAAGTGAAACATATTGTGCCAGTATGCCAACATGATAGCCCTTTTTTGCAAAAAGTTACACTTTCTGATTAGTTTCCAACTGCGGAGAAAAAATTCTGATTTTTTTCGGATTTTGAAAACAAAAATTTCTAATTTTTGAAGTCTTCATCCGGCAACTCTGGTTGAAATAGTAGAAACGATTGTTTTCTTCTTCTTTTCTTAATACTTCATAGAAAGAACAAGCAAGGAGTGCATATGAGATTCAGACGGAAGAAAAATAACAGAGTTATTATCGAATGCAAAACTGAATAAACAACTCTGAAAAAATGAAATTACAACGGACAAAT